AATGACCCTAAATTTTAAATTAAATAAAAAATTCTCCCAATAGATATTTTATTTAAATAAATTTTATAGTAAGTAGACATTGATAATTTAGAGGAACTCATGCTAGAATTTTTCTAGAGGATCCAAAGTTCAGATTTTTCTGAGCAACAGTCTAGTTTTAAAATTGTAGGAAATCTCATATCCTTTCTTGTAATTTTCTTATGCCTTTTCTTGTGAATTTTCTCGTGCCTCTTTTTGTAATTTTTCCCAATTCTTCTTCTGCTCAGAAGCTATTTCTTTTGAGCGAAGAAAATAGAGCATTCTCCTCTCTTCTCTTCACTGACCTTAAACTTCCTTCCTCTCATCACTATCGAGTGTTTCCTTATCATCTTCGACTTGTCTCCTCGCCGCCGGCTGTTGCCGTTCAATTTTGTCAGCTATCCATTCCTTTCTATCAACGTGGTGTCACTGAACCTCTGCTCTGTTTTTTCGCTACTGCTGGGTGACAGAGGTGCATGCATGTTCGTCTCTTTTCTTTTCTTCTCCTCAATAGCTGGACGTCGATGTGTGCGTGTATAGTAAGCTCAAACTCTTCTTTATTTTCTGATATGAAATTTCTGCTTCTCTTCTTTCTTCTCACGTTATTACAGCAGTGAGGTTGAGTGACCAAATATCCTTCTTTGTCATTGTCCCTTGCTCTGTGTCCAAGGGAAGTAAGTAGTCTTAGATCTTCTAGCTTTGCTGTCATCTTCTCCTTTGCTGTTAAAATTTCACAGCTGGAGGTGGTGAAGTTGTCGGACTTTCTCTCCCTTAGTTGCTGTTCCTTGTTTTTTCTTGCTTACTGATGATGGTGGTGCTTGTTTGTACGTTCAGTGTTAATTTATTCTTCTTCCCAGGTTATTGGCATCACGTCTGTGTGCATGTGTGTGTTGCAACATTGTTGAAGTTTCAAAGCTTCTCTTGAACCTTATTGCTATCTGTGGCTGTTGAAAAATAATAATAATAATAACCATAACAATAATAATAATAATAATAATAATAATAATAATAATAAGAAGCTGGAAATCTACATAGAATAGGTTAGAATTTGCAAGCTAAATTAGTTTTGTTTGGATTAGTCGGTGTTGACGAATTGGCTAGGATTAGATTGAGATAGAAGAGCTTAGACATGAAGCTTGAAGACTAATGCCTATGGGATATTTGTGAAAATGCTTTTTTGAAGAAATTGAGCTTGCTTTTGAATATTTTTGACATTTCATGGATTCTTGTGGGAAGTATAATTAGCTTAGATGTTATTGATCTATGAATTTAACTTGAAAGTTGCAAGGGAGATTAGACTATGAAATTATTAATATAGGATGGTGTGGAAGAATTATTGATACTACTTGGAAATCTATGCATGTAATTATATCCACAAGTAATAGATTTAAAATAATAATTAGAACCTTAGACAACCTAAAGTAATTGAGACATTATTTGGGATCAAGTGATATCCCACTAATGAGTTGAGAGAATTCTTGGCTAGCAAAATTGAGAGTGTAGAGAGAATTTATTTGGAGTAAAGAGAACTTCATTATTTGTTAGAAATTAAGATGTTAAATATCATCTTACTTATGTTAAGGAAATAATAAATAATAAATTTTAGGATTTTGATTTACTTGCTAGGAAATTAATGGCACAATTAGAATTAAGGTGAGAAGTTGAAGTGAATGAGCTTTAAAATTTTGAGAAACTCTCAGGTGAGTGGGTAGCATTTTGAATGAATTTCTAATGAATTGCTTATAAAATTTTACTATTGATTCTTTATAAATTGTGCAAACATTCTTATTTATCCTATTTTTTCTAATAATTTTTTTATTTATGATACTATGTTGATTTTATTGAAAATTTATATGGTTGACAAGTAATGATGGAAAATAATAGTTGAAATTTTTTTCTTGTTTCATACATGCTTTATTTTACTAAGGGGACTAAATTTAGAATGCTGGATGTTAATAGCAGTTTCATTAGCCCTTAGTGCATGTTGGTTCACCTAGCTAGCAGAGTGCTTTTAGAAGATGGTAGCCACCAATGCATGTGGATCGAAGGGATAGTATTTATGAGTGTTATTCTCACTCTTGTTTTCGTGGGCTTCATGCCTATGCTCAATTTATGGCTTTTGGCACTCTTGTTTTGTGGCTCCTAATCGTGTTTGACTGGTTACTCACCCTCATGGACTATGTGTCCATACTTGTTATTCATTCTAATTGAGCCCTCCTAAACTTAAACTAAAATTTAACATTTTTAGTAATGCTCTGAAAGTACTTTATCAAACTACACTATCATTGTAAATCTTTATATTTTATGAGTAGTAAAATGTGATTCTACTAGCATTGTCTAATTTCACGATCATACTATTATGAAAAATTATTATTTACAATTAAGGATAATTCATTATTTCATTAAGTAATTTGAAGTTAAATTTATTATTTATTATCTTTATATTTTCTTTACTATAATTTTGATTGGAATGTTACTCACCGGTAATTTCTTTGGTCTCAGATATTGTAGCTGACCCTGCACCTCCGACCAACTGACTATTGAGGGCCCATCTTACTTTATAGAAAAAAGAAGCACATGGTAATTATTATTTTTTAGTGAAACCTTATACTATATTTTGTAACTTATAAGCTAGTGCTCCATGTACACCATGGTTAGGCCCAAGTCTTATTTTTTTTATTATGTAAATTGCTAGAATGGAGCTAGTCTCCTTACTAGTTAGGCTAATAGGTTTTGTTATTGTGAAAATTTCAAAAGGTCCAAATTATAGGAGAGACTCTGCTGAAATTTTTACAAAACATTTAAAAATTTACAAAATTTATTATTAATATATATATAATTTACATATATTGATAACTTAAACTCTGGTTAATCAAGGCTTAGGAATATGAGATCACCTCATATTCCATGCCGATTATACCCTTGGTATTAAGGTGTGACACTTTTCTTAACTAATTAGGACTATTTTTATATGTTAAGAGTCTCTATATGCATTGATATCACATTTTTAATGCAATTTTTCCTAAGTGTTCAAATACATGCATTAGGGGTAATTTGGTCATAAAATGTACTTTTTCACCAAATTAGGGTTAAGCTAGAGATTTATATCTTTTAATGAGCTAAGATGATTGGTCTAATTAGTTTTTAATGATTCATCTTAGGTTAAGAGTTATTAGGAAAAGATGATATTTTAAGGTTGTCTCCCTAAGGGTTTCCAATTAGCCTTTGATTTTGGTTCAAGTGTGTTCTTGTAACATCTCAAATTTCTAATCTTGCATTAATGATTGATTAGTGGATGAATTAATGGTTTCATGTGGGATTAGGATGCTTAATAGTGAAGTGTTATTTTGACCTATTTGGATGTTATATAAATAAATATGAGCAAAAGAGCAGAATCCTGAAGCACGTGCCACGTGGTGCCACGTGTCGTGGTGGGGAATAGATGCGCCACGGCACATGGTACAGAACTTTAATTAATAGGGACATGTCCAGCTCGTGAAACAGAAGGGAGGAACATGAGGAAGTGGTTCTGGCATGGAGAAGAGTAAAGCATCTGCTAGGGCAAGCATAATTAGGAGCAAGGACGGTGTTTCTGACTTGTTACTTATCAAGTAAGTCTCATACTGCCTTAACCTCTAATTCTACCCTATTTTCTTTTAGTTTTAAATAGTGAGAAATTAAATTTGGGAGTTTTAAGGAGTTGATTTCTTACCCTATCGTAATAAAAAGGCTCTTCGGAACTAAACTAGTACTTTGTGACTGGTTTGAGTCAAAACAATAAACCTTTAAAGCTATAGGCAAGCTTTGCCCCAATATAGAGACAGAGTAACAACAACAACAACAACAACAAGCCTTTATCCCACTAGGTGGGGTCGGCTACATGGATTGCAAGACGCCATTGTGCTCTATCATTTATTAAGCTTTTAGAAATATTATTAATTAAGAGATCATGTTCAATAACTTCCAAGAGTGTTCTCTTAGGCCTTCCTTTACCTCTCTTAATCGGACTCAAAGTTATATGTTCCACTCTTCTCACTGGTGCCTCCCTTGGTCTTCTTTGTACATGCCCAAACCATCTCAACCGATTTTCTACCATTTTTTCCTCAATAGGTGCCACCCTCACTTTTTCACGTATGTGCTCATTTCGAATTTTATCTTTACGTGTATGTCCGCACATCCATCGTAACATTCTCATCTCTGCTACTCCAACTTTATGCTCTTGCTGTCCCGTTAGAGCCCAGCATTCACTACTATATAACATTGCCGGTCTGATAGCAGTACGATAAAACTTTCCTTTAAGTTTATTAGGCACCCTACGGTCACAAATAACTCCTTTAGCTTTTCTCCAATTAAACCACCCAGCTTGAATTCTATGTGAAATATCTCCACTGATTTCGCCATCATTTTGAATAATGGCTCCCAAATATCTAAACTTTTCCACTTGAGGTATAATTTGATCTCCCAATTTTACTTCGAAATTATTTTCGAATAGTCCTTTACCAAATTTACAATATAAATATTCCGTCTTACTTCTACTCAGACGAAAACCTTTCGACTCCAATGTCCTCCTCCATAACTCAAGTTTGCAATTAACCTCTTCTCTTGTCTCTGCTATAAGAACTATATCATCCGCAAAGAGCATACATTTCGGGATTTCCTCTTGAATATGTTCCGTCAAAACATTTAAAATCAAGTTGAACAAATAAGGACTCAGAGATGATCCCTGATGAATATATATATATATATATATAGAGACAGAGTAGTGAGAGAAATTTGGCTAGAAAAGGTTAGAGTTTGAAATAAGGGATAATCAGTGGTAATATGCATAATCGAGTGTGAATCGTGGAATTGATAGCAACTAGGTGCTTAATTGCCATAATTGGCACTTTTTGTCAATAGTGAAATTGACTTGGAATGCCAATTTTGTGTAGATTCTAGTGTGTGGCAAGTAGATAAACATTTCTATCGGACAGAAGGGTTAAGGTAATCATATAGTTTATTGTGTTTATTAACTATTATAACTATGTAGAAGTAAATACAAAATGGTGAATTTGTTGTTTTATGAGTTTTTATGCATAATTGGTTATTGAAAATGGTTTTAGCATGAACATTAGTTTATGGAATATTCCATTTATAATCCATCGATATGATAGGTCCCACTTGTTTTTCTTTAGAATAATAAATGACCTACTTAACTCAGTGGTTAGAGTATTGCTTTCATATAGCAGGAGTCATTGGTTCAAATCCAATAGTAGGTATAGGTAGAACTTTTTAGCTCCCAGAGTCAATGGGTATCTAATAAGTTTTTTTAGTTTGAATCATCCCCTCCCGCCCAACTGTGTTAGAGTTTCTCTACTTGTTGCCATCGACCTCAACTATCCATTGCCTATTCCTATTGATGAGGCACAGATGGTGGGGGAAGCAGTAAGGAGCTTTGTTGTATGGCTTAGCCACCTTGTAATAGTGGAACACCAAAGCCGGAAAAGGACCCATTACTTCCAAAGAAAAAGGTACAGTTTAAATAGTTATTTATAATTTTATAATATAATTATAAATATCTAACTTTTTTGTTATACAGCTGAAAGGGAAGAGCAAGCTAAAAGGTAAGTCGGGCCATACCAAAAAGTCAGCCATAGTTTTACAATATCTAACAGCACCAGTGCTAGTTGTAGAATACAAATACTGTGCCTCTCTTGAGACATATGTGATGGCTACGAGGATGGCTAGTCAAGTGGCGATTGGGGATATCATTAGTTTTGATGATGGGCTATATGGAAGACCGGGCTTGTTTGAAGTTTTCTAAGATGAAAATTTAAATGAAATTCTCAAGCATGAAATGGCCAGTACTAGTCTGATGAGCTTCTACATGAGGTATTTCTTCAATAATGCTTAATTAATTACTTAAATTATATATATGTGTGTGTGCATGCACGTGTATTAACCTAGTTATTTTTTCACCTAAGCCACCTTTATACCTCATTTATGGTTCCCGGTGGCCTTGAGTCAAGATTCAAGCTGATTAATCCCCACGATATCTCTACCTATAATGGAATTACAAAGGAAGCCCTTGAAGATCAAGCAAGGTAGCTTTTGGATCAATTTAAGGATAGGGGAGCAAGCAATGATACTTTATTTTTTGCTCCTTACTACCAAGGGTAAGCCACTTTCTAGCTAGTTTTAGTACAAGTAAATATTTTTTATATTTACTTATTTGATAATGTTGCATCAGGAAAATGCGACATAGATGGCGCACGACCGGAGGTTCCAGCCATCAGGGTGGGAACCGGATGGAATGGGAGTCACCACTAAAATTTTGAGGGAAATCTTGGGAAACCAATTAAAGGAGAATAAGGATGGTTTGCAAAAATAAAAAATAGATTCGAGAGTCAATTGAGTGTGGGGAAGGTATTAAGCACCCCACAACACCCGTTTGTTAGAATGGTTACCTGAAGTTTGGTGTGCTAAATTAATATGGTTTTAAAGTTATTTTAATTGTCCCTTTCTTGTTCATGTGTTTGATATAAAAATGATGATAATTAAGTGAGAAATATTTATTTATTTATGAGGGAGGACTTGACTCATAATCAGATTCTGAGGCCTACGTACCCTGCAATGGGAATCAAAGTCTATGTAGTTCGGGTTTGAAAGTTGTTGGTGAAAATATTTTTCTTGAAGAGAAATTAATTAGAAATAATTCACCATGTTGTAAATAAAATAATTTTCTAAAATTTGATATGTGCATTTTAAATTGTAAAAAGTAATTTAATTTTAATTATTTTCTCAATTTTTGAATTTTTGAAATAAAAAAGAAAGGGGTTTAAATTTTTTTTTATATTTTATGAATGAGAATTTAATCGCTATACCTGTAGAGCCTTATTAACTCATACAATAATGCAATCGTTCTAAATATCTACGGAGATTCCAAAATCTTACACGATAAAAGAGTTTAACAACTTAATTTATTTATATTTTTAAGTGTTAGTAATAATTTGTTTAAGCATGTATATATATGTTTTCAAAAAAATTTAATCATCATGCCTGCAAAGCTTTATTAACTTAATGGTAATATAATTATCCTAAATATCTATGGAGATTTCAAAATCTCACATGATAAAAGATTAAATAATATACACTTAAGTAAATTTTTAATTTGATTGATTTAATATATAATTTATAAATGTAATTTAATAACTTAATCGTTATATTTGCAAAGTCTTATTGACTCATATGATAATACGATTATCTTAGAAGTCTACGGATATTCAAAAATGTCACATGACTAAAAGTTATAATCGGTAAATGTGATTACAACTTAAATATGTTAATTTGATTAATTAATTTTTCTAAATTGTGTATTATATCATTATTTACAAAAATCATTTATTTATTATAGAAATTGAGAATCACTACATCTGCGAGGACTTATTATCCCACATGATGATGTGACTAATTTATGTCTCTACGAAGATTCTTGAAATCTCACATGAGACTTAAATAAATTATTAATTTGGACTATAAAAAGAGAGTTAGTTTTAATGATAGGCCTTTAGAACCCATATGAATATACAAGTCTTATTCTCATATTTGCAAAACCTTATTGATTTACATGATATGAGATCATTTAAATTTCTACGGAGATTCTTAAAATCTCACATGAAAAATAAACAAACATAAATATGTTCTTTTATCATTGTTATCATCATTATAATTATTATATATCTTAGATTTAGTTAGCTACTCAATGAACAAAAGATTTTGTCAATCGTTGGTTGCTTCTTCTCTCTTTTATCCAACTATTATTCACAAAATTGCCCAAGATTATACTTATTATTACAGGGCATTGTTCTAAATAAAACACCTGATACTTGTGTTGATTCAAAAATCAAAATTAACATCTATTCACAGTCAAGATAAATGGGACCACAATGAGAATCAAGGGTTGAAATTTAGTACATAAACATCTACACATAGTGCTGTAAATTTTATTTTGTTGATCATTTGACTCATTCGCTAAGGAAGGCATTATTCATAGTTTGAAATAGCACAAAGTGAAAGCATTAATAAAATTTAAGTGTAATCATGAACAGTTAAAGAGACTAAAATTTGATAAAAAAAAAAGGAAACATTCCACAATCTAAATCAAATATATGCCTATCAAAGAAAGAAAACTTCCCTGAAATACACACATTTTTACACACGAATATTCAATAAAGTCATGTTCAGGACCACCTATGTTCAACAAAGTCATGTTCAAGACAATTCTGAGTGAACTTTAAACAGGATAGGGTGCAAGGTCATATGATCACAATATTGAGACCATTCATAATTATTAAACTGTGAGATCAACATCCTAGGAGCTTTAGTATAATCAAGCTTTTGAAATAGCATTTCTTGCATCAGATGGTAAAATTTGAATGACATATATAAGCAGATCCAATATCTTTCTCAAAGTATTTAATTCACACATTCAGTCCAAACATCCCATAAATCAGAACGAAACACATGTAGAGAATTTCCTCAAGGGATACCAAATTATAATTAGAAAATTTCTCCAAAACTAATCCAATTTTGTAAAGTAAAATACAAAATGGATCATGGAAGCGAAGAAGATTGATTCCAAACCTATTGCAGCAAATAGAAATGAGCAACTTCAACTGACTATTCTTATTCTTCATCCTTCCTCTTTGCTTCGCTGCCTCTGTCCTATTCGTTCCTCATTCTTATTCCAGCAAATCACTCAATCTCTCACTGTCACTCCCTCTCGGTTTTCCCTTTTAAGAATCGGATAATCTTAAGCTCTCAGTCTTTTCTAAAAGAATCAAATTTTTGCTCGTTCTTTATTCACCTCCAAAGATCCTCTCATTCTTTTGGTTTGAGCTCTTATTTTTTTAGAAAACTCTTCCCCTGTTCCTGGCCTCCTATTTCTCTTAGTCTCTTTTTTTCCAGAAAACTCTCTCTCTTTCTCAGACTCTTGGTCGCCTCTGTCCCTCGTGCTCTCTCCTTCCTTAATTTTTTGCTCTATCTCTCGTGCTCTTTTTTTGCTCTTTGGCTCTCTTTTTTTTCAGTTTCTCTTCCCCATGTTTTCGATGCTCTCTCTCACTCTCCAGTCCTCCTTGTCCGTTTTCTTTTTTTTCAGTCCATCATCCCCTTTAAAGCAGAAACAAGGAAGAGCTTGCTTGTGAGGAGAGAGCTTATGTGCTTCACCTTTCTTACTCTGCTCTGCTGTGTGCCTTTAGCATTCTCTCACTTTTCTCTTCTATCATGCACGTCTTTTGTATTTCTTTCTCTGTACGTGAGTCTGCTTTCTGCTCTCCAAAAGCTTTTCCCTATTTTTTTGCTTTTCTGGCTCTCTTTTTCGCATGTGTTTCATGTGTGCATGCTGCTCTTTACTCTTTGTTGTTTTTCTTTCTCCATTTCGTGACCTCTCTACTCGTGTCTGCAAGAAGCCTCTTAAGGCTGTGATGAAACGCTGATGGATCAGCGTTTCATCCAGCCTATTACACACACACACACACACACACACACATATATATTATTATTTTGCTTTTAATGTTTTTTAAAATTAGATTAACACAAACACACAGAGATATATATATACATATATATTTAAATGAAAAATAAGATTTAAGGGGACAAAAGTTAACTCTCAATATTTTGAATGGTTGGCATAATTTGAGAGAGATTTTTCAAGATTTAACCTTTTTTTATTTTGTTAAATTATTATTTTTTTTTGAAATATAATCCAAAAAAGGATTAAATTTCATTTTTGTATTTTTATATTTTTTGGTTATTTTAATGAACTAAAAGAAATAAAATCTCAATCAACAAAAGATTATCTAGGATAAAATAAAAATTAAACCCTATTAGTTATATTTTTTTGAAAATATAATCCTAAAAAGAATTAAATTTCATTTTTGTATTTTTATATATTTTTGGTTATTTATTATTTTTATTAAATTTAAAAAATGTCAGGAAAAAACACAGTGTTCACAGATAGCACTTGTTATTTCTTATTAAGGGACACTAGATGCTTATTGTGGTTAACCCTGTTGCTCCAAAAATTTGGTATCTCGATCCTCTTAACGGAGAACCAAGCAACAAGCCAGATATGGTAGAACTTTTTAATAAGTAAGTTGAATTTTTATCAATTGTTATTTTAATATCCATATATATTGAATTTCTAACATTTATTCTTTACTTCCTTCATAGAGCTGTGGTCTTGTATCGTACTACGACCAATAAGACCTTGTCCCCTAGCTTAAGGGCATTGGACTCTTGTGAGATATGGGTCACAGTTAAGGTAAACCTAATGGGCTAAGTTTTTAATTAACAAATCGTGGCCTTTTAACTATTATTTTATTGATATGTGATTTTTTTCACAGTGTCCACTTTAGCCAGATCAGAGCAATGACTGTGGCTATTGCTTGATGAGATTCTTGAAAGACATTATCACCTATGCCCCTACCATATTACCTCACAAGGTATATATTAAAATTAATGATACTTAAATTATAAATTTTAACAACTTTTGTTAGATAGTTATTAACTTGAATTTATTGTAATTCTTTACATACAGTACTTCAAGGATGCCTACTATATTCGGTATGCAACTGCACATATAGAGGAAACCCTTGAAGAGGTAGTTCAGGTTGTGTTTAACATGTGGATAGCAGCAGTGGTTAGGCCCAATTAGTTTTGCTATACACATTTATTTTTTTTAGTCAAGTTTATGTCTAAGGCTAATTAATTTTGAAATTTTAACTTGTAAAGTAGGTAAAGTTATAGATTTTTTATGGCATCGGGTTTAGGGTATTGGTAGATATAAGAAATTAAAGATATTTGGATTGTAATTTTAATATAAATAATGACTCAATTGTTTTTTATTATTGGCTGGCTTGTATATATATTTGATTGCTTTGTATTTGCAGGGGGCTGCCAACTTTTAAAAAGACACATCATAAATAATTGACAGTTATTTAAAAAGAAACGTCAAGTATATGTTTACTTGACGGTTATTTCAAAATAACCGTCAAGTATGTATATTTATTTGACGGTTATTATAAAATATCTGTCAAGTATTTGGCACACAGAATTTGCGAAAACATATTTGATAGTTGTTTTGAAATAATCGTCAAATATTACTAAATACTTGATGGTTATTTTTAAATAACAATCAAGTATATTGCTGCAGTATATGGGTGTTTAAGTGATTACTTGACGGTTATCTTGAAAATAACCGTCAAGTAATCTCTAAAATATTTGATAGTTTTTTAACCGTCAAATAAATATATGGCGCCCCATTACTTGACAATTAAAAACTGTTAAATAATTTCTAAAATAACCATCAAGTAAGGGGGTATTCTGTAGTAGTGAATGATTTAAAAAATTATTGACTTTAATTGATATACATATGTGTGTGTGTGGGTGTGTGTGTGTTATGACATTACATACTATGGAAATGTAAAAAAGTAGTGATAATTGTGAAAGAGCATGATCATAGGGGGTGAGAGTTCACCTAGGATATGTGGGGATATG